CGTATTTCCTTAAACCCGCATTTTCTTAGGCAATCTGAGTTAAAATTTATTTTTTCGATGTCTATTATCATCAGGGAAATTCCATTTCTGCGTGACATTTCCTAAAACAACAGTCGAATTACCGTACTAACACTGGTTAGTTTGGTGCTAGCAACTTCTTGTAGGACACAAGTATATTATTCCTAATTTCCAGCAACATTTTTTGAAACTTCAAGTTCTACACAGGAGGCGAAAAATTATTTTAAAAAAAAATTGTTAAATTCGGTTGCATATCGTCCTTATTACGTAAATATAATTCCCAAAATATTTCTTGCAGGGAAACAAAAAGGAAAGTGATCATGAGAACGAAATGGAATCCATTTTCGAAACTTTGACGAGTCGGGCTTGGTTAACTCGCGTTGTAGAGCGCCGGACTGGCGTGGAGGAGGTCGAGGGTTCAAGCTCCAGACCGGGCCAACACTCAGGGTCGTAAAATATTGAGGAGAATGTGCTGCCTCTGCTTTGACAACGGTTCTTTTCGGGTAAGTACGATAAGCCATAGGCCCCATCTCCTTTCTCTTCTCTGAAATGGTTAACAGGGAGGTTAAAGAACCAACGCACTTCTCGCAAAGAGTAGAGAACAAAGCTCCCGGTGTTGTGGTGTGGCCATGTCATTCTATACACAGACCTCCACTTCAACCAGTTCTCGTTTCAACTACCGACACGGTTTTTTAAGCAAGACCACTTTCATCTAGAATTCCATCTATCTCTAAAAGAGGCCTGATTAAGGAATTCAATAAATTTCCTAAAATGGCGGGAACGTTTTCAATATTGGAAACTAATTTAAAAATTGCAAAAATTAACGTTTACGCTTGTGACGTCGCCCATATCACATGATTGTGTGAAAGACCCATCACGATTGTGGGCGTTGAAATCATCCGCCGTTACATACCGCACACGTTTCAGGACCAGAAGACACAGGTGCCCGTGCTTGTACTCTTCCAACTCAACATGAACATTCCACCCATTGTTAATCGGAGATCTTTTCTTCAAATTAAATCCCGGCCCTGTCAATACCAAAAAATGGAACAATACCAACAATCACCTTTGTGCGTGGTTCTCGTAAGCGTTGTGGATCGCTAAGACACCCTTAAAACCTAAGCAATGTAAATATTTCAGATCCAAACACTCGCTCTAGTAGCAATTTTAATTATCCGCTGTCTGTTTGTCCATTAAATGCTAGATCAGTAAGAAATAAAACAGCTTTACTCCTGGATTACATACGTGATTACGGTGCTGATCTTTACGCTATCACAGAAACCTGGCTTACGGACAAAGATGCTTCAGTTAAAGCAGAATTCTGCCCTGCGGATTACAATTTCATCGACTACCCTCGAACTGGTTATCGCGATGGTGGTACTGGCTTAAATTTCCGTGATTCTCTGCGTGTCAAGATGGTTGATGCGTGTGGAAAGGATTCTTTTGAATCCTCCGAATGGCTTGCTAGTTGCCTGTGCTGTAGTTTGCGTCTACTGATCGTGTACCGTCCACCTTATTCTACCGAGTATAAGGATACAGTCAGTGTTTTCCTCAGGGAATTTTCTGATTACCTCGAATCGTTTGTGCTTTCAAAGGAACAGATTTTAATTGCTGGTGATTTCAATATCCACGTCGATGACACAATGATGTGCGGTCTTTTTTCAGCGAGAAGTCAGCTAGGAGAAACTTCCAGCTTCTTGGCCCTTCTTGGTGAAGTTGTTATCGATACTGCAACCTGACGAGTTTACACAGAAATTTATTCTTAAAAGAAATAAAAACCAACAACAAGGTTATCACAGGGGCTGTCAGACCAAAGATTAATAACCCAAAAACCGAAACATTGGACTCTCAAATTGAACACATGCAAACTGTGAGCTATGCAGGAAAATGCTAACTACCAGTTCTTGATTGATTTTAAGCTACTACATTTGATTGATTGAGAGGGTGTCCAGAGTTTTAAAGACCATTCATGAGGTGAAGTAAAGTAACACCGGTGGTTTATTTGGAGGCAAGAAAATCCTACATTACCATCTTCACCTATGCTCTCTTAGAGATCAAATAAATAATTTCGCCTCACAGAAAAACAATAAATCCATAAAGCAAGAGGTAACGAGAGTTAAGGAAATTATCAGCCTCATGATAAAGCAGACTTTAATTTATTACCACCTTCTCAGAGCTAACATTAAATGAAATGTATAGCAGGTGGCAAGGAAAACTTACGCTGCCAGGGAGTATAAGGTTCTATGGGACCTACAGAAGTAGGTTCTTAGAACGTTTTGAAAATGCCATGCCTGAATGTTGGAAGAGGCTATCTGCCAATTTCACTGTACCATAGTTATTAAACTTTAAGAAATAATACTACGGGTGTGTGACATTTATCTTCTTGTGAATAGTTTGGGTTAAATTTTTCCATGCGTATTTCCATGCTTGTATTTCTTGTGAGCATTTTACTTAATAAGTTCATTTCTAATTTTTGTGAGCTATAATTGAGGATAAACATTTTTGAGGCTGTTCTGTGCTAAACGTTCTTTGAGATTTTTCCCTAGTTTCCAGGCTACTTTAATTTATACACACTAACCAACTGACAAAAACAGTGTTTAAGATTATTGTGACTGCTCTCACAAAATAAACCAGCCGAAAAATAGAAATCACGTGCAAGGGAACATCAGCTCATAACTCAAGGGGCTGTTCCCGTTACGACTCCAGCTTTTATTGTTGTCGAGCAACTAAGGGCCTGTTATTTGCACAAGTGCCATAAGAATTTCCCCGTACTCTGCCACCAACCCCCATCGGGTGGGATGCCAATCTATTACAAAGTTAACCCTTTCCGCCCTAAAATCAGTATGCATATTCTCCACACTGTTCTCCATGTTTCCCAAGGAGCCGTGGAGGAGAATTAGTTTAACAATCTAGAACTTTAGTCTGTGTTCCATTCCTTGATTTGGGTGACCTTAATGTTGGATCCAGGGGTGATATTGTAAGAGAAATTAGATGCTTGTCACTCCTAGGGGTCAAAAGTTTAATGGGTGTTTGTTTATCCGATTTTTTTTAATTGTTTAGTTCCTGTGGAGGACAATTGATTCTGAGAATAGTAAAGGAAAGGCTTTGAGCTTTTCAGTTGATGGGAGTGAAGTTGAAAAGCAAAACAAAAGAATAAAAAGGTAAGTTTTTCGTGTGTTTTTTCCGGTGTTTGTTGGTGTTGTTGTTGTTGTTGGTGTTTTGTTCGTGCACGATCGAGACATTCGACTCGCCAGTACCGAGACCTCCGCCGCCGTTTCAGAACATGCCCACAACACCGGACACAAGCCACTCTGGAACGAAATAAAGTTTATTGATCGTTACCCTTATAACTACACGCGCATGGTCAAAGAGGCTATTCATATAAGACTGCACCCTAACAAAATCAACAGGGATAATGGAATAGAAATTCCAGAAGCGTGGATCCCCACAATCAAGAAATACAACAACAAGAGAGCCGTGCAACAGCGGACCGCCGAGGGAGCAAATCACTGAGTAAACAGCAAGTATGGAAATGCACCAATCAGAGCTGCTGAAAAACAACCAATCACAGCAGAGCATCATGCTTTATAAGATCACGCATGACCAGTCGACCTCACCACCTGAAGAAGACTAGCAGTATGCAGTCGAAGCGTCGCGATCTACATCACACGTGACTATATCGTGAGACAAACGAAAAACTTACCTTTTTATTGTTATTCACCACGATGAATAACCAAAACCAATAAGAAATTACAACCACCAACTATAATACAGAAAACCATCGCTCGGAACCAATGAGATTTCAAAGCTACCTAAAGCAAACTGTCTGGGGGCTGAAATAGATGAGACTTGTCGTTGGTTCAGAGAGCAGTGCAGTTTTTTGGCTAAAAATCTCGGGCTAGGAGAAAAGTCACCCGTCTATGTCAAAAGTCGAATATGTGTGCTAATCTTGTACTGAGGCTGGGCGTTAAAAAAGTTATCAGCAAAAAAAAATATATGAGAATTTACAGCAATTTTCTCTTTCATTTTAGTGATTCCGAAGAACCATTTATTAGTCAGACAGGTGTGCTATCATAAATTGAGTTTGAAATATTTTATGTTTCCGGGAAAGAACTTAACAACGAACATGTCAATAAGTTTGTTTTTTCTAAGTGAAAAGCGATAAAAAGGGAGTTGTAAGTGGCTTTCGTCTCGAGGAAAATCATTTCAAAAGAGAGTCTAACCAAAAGGGAAGGCAAAATGGTGATCAGCAAAGGGAGATGAGGTTCTGGGAATCAGCGGGAGATTTGTAACGAAATGGTAAAATAAGTAGTAGGGCGGAAAGAGCGTAGAAAAGAGGGCACCTATGTAAAACGGGCGATGTGGTGGAGAGGCAAGATTAGTTACGGAAGATTGTTACATCTAAGCAGCAAGGAAGTTATCAGATAAGTGCCCCGCCCGACCTTAGATGAGCGGATAAGTTCAATACTGTGCATTTACATCTCTCTGAAGGCAACGAAAGATAAAACTGAAGCAAACAAGTCTATTCTATTGAAGTGTCGTTTCAATTTCATTAAAGCCACAAAGCATAACTGCTCCTTTCCAATTCGATCCTGAAAGGATTGCATTGATGCACAAAACAATCCAAACGCAGAGGGAGAGATTTTGACTCGTGCACCTCTTCCTCATAGGTTAAACCTTCTGAAATTCTAGGATAATATAAGCAAAAACTATTAGCTTATAATTATTTCTACGACACAGTAAGCGAGTTGGACATCTCTGTTATCAGAATATTTGAATGCTGTTTAACATGCCGTTTTACATTATAGAATGTTCAACGTGGTTTCTCAAATTTATCTATGTAGAGAAAGAATGGCTAGAGATTGATCCAGGGTAAAGCCAAAGTTATACACAGACACAAGTCCCTATCTGAGGGGTTGCGCTTGAAACGAATCGACAATTAGACTTATTATTAGGTTTATTTTGCAAAACCCGAGTCATATTTATTGTACCAAGATGTATCCCATGGCTTTGAGGTGTTTGTTTCCATTATCTGGATTATTAACGGCCTCGTTACCACACGTGTTTGAATCGTCAGGTCGCCCTTTTGTCCCAAATCCGATCCTTGAGTCGCACGAGCCACACTCATTCTTGTTTTCGCTAACAATACCAATTCTGGCTTTAGAATATCTACTCCAACTACAAACGACATTAAACCCTTCTTTGTTGCAGTTGGCCTGTAACGAGCCTTGGGAACCAATCAACTCTTTCCACTTGTCACGACCAAGTGAGGTGGCGCGGTATTGGCCATCAGCGATCAGTGAGTGCAGAGAGTCAGCCTGCTTGTGGATGACAATGAACCTGAGCTGTTGGTTGATCTTCATACCGAGACAGATCTTGGAGAAGGATGTGTTCCAGTAGGTGGGTAGCTTTGACTCTTGTCCGTCGAACCCAGTCGCTCCTCCGGGAAGATTGTATTCTTGATCATTTATCCAGTAATGCTCATCATAATGGAAGGTGGTCTGAAATATAGCAGCAATTCAATTTTTTATTTACTCCGAATTAATGGATATTTTCTGTCAAAGTCCTGTCGTGTATCTGCATTTATTGATCCATTACTCATTTGTTTTACCGTTAAATTGACCTTGGTAATTACGCCATCGTGTCGTGAAGACTAAGGTCATTTTTTTTCCAACACGGACCCCGCGCCGTTGATCAGTGCATAACATATCTTTCTAGTTATAAGGAGTTTTTCTGCGTTTTCATTTGGACGCCAATCAAGAGACATTGAAATGATAATCATTTGTGAAGTGAATGAAGGATGATACACGATGCTATTATATAAAGCAATTCCAATCTCTTTTCATATATAACAAAAACAAATTGGATTTTGGTTATGTCACGATAAAAGTAACCTGATCTCCCCATTAAACTGTAATATTCCTATGATCCACGATTTCTCCTCATTGCCAAGTTAATTGGCCCCAAATGTTATATAGTCCTCCAAGAATCCTCCTCTACCTATCCTCCCTCCCGCCGCTCGGGGAATGAGCAGTGACAGCTCTTTAAATCAGGGTGATATCTACATACCCATTAACCAGTGTGGAACTTTAACTGAGATAAGATGTGTTGTTTGTTCCGGACAGCTTTTAACCGAATTATGATCTAAATGGTGTCTATTTCTTAAATAGCCGTTACATGCTACTAGAGACAAATATGTTAGGATATATTTATACATTCTTTTTCATCCTTTTTCAACAGTCACTACACACAAAAAGTCTTAAAATTTACGTTGAACGAAGTCTGTTCTTCATGTATTATATTCTCAATGAAAGACAACTGAAGGCATTCATATGTAACACGCACGTTTTGTACTTGCAACGTTTTGAAAGAGAGCGGGTTTATACAGGAAATGAATTATTCAATAAAATTATCCACCTTTCTGCCGTCAATCTTCATGACTGGCGTCCATCCTCCATCTCCACAGCCAAAATTTCCCATGTGACAGAAAACAGACAATGGTTGGGAGTCAACAAGAAGGGTAACCACACCACTCACATTGGATCTTTTGAATCAAAATGAAAAAAAAAACAATACAACTAGTAATGAAAAAAATGATGGTGAAATAAAACTTGAGGTTCTAAAAATAATTATCATAGCTACAACGGTGGCAATGATAATGGAAAAGATACTAATTGACAATAATAATTATAATAATAATAGTAATGATTCAACAAATAAGCAAATGGAAAGTTGATCCTTCAGACGTCAATATCTGCGGAATATAAACAACAGCCTTCATAAGAACAATACTCGGTTATTTGTCATGGAATCAAACAGGTGTCCGAGTTAAAAAGATATTTTTTCACTTCTTCTCTGAGGACAGTAATGCATTCCACTGAAATAAATCAAGGTTTAAAGGAGGACTTTCTCCGCATATGGAATGTGGTTTGAAAATTGGGGTATATTCAGGTGCCGTGGTGGGCCTAAACTATGTGCGGGCAAGTGTGATATTTGATGTGTTATGAAAATAATATCGAAAATCAGTTCTACTTGCATTTTATTAATTTCTTTACACGAGGAAGCTCCTGCAAGAAGTTTGAAAATATATTTGATTAGAAGAAATTGTAAACTTTTTTTAGCTACATCTCAATCCATCATTGGGAAACTATATTGACTGCGATCTGACTGATTGACGGAAGAATTTTATTATGTTCGAAGCTCTGCTTTTTGACTGGAAAGAGTCAGTTTTCATTTACTTTATTTGGCAGCATGTATTTCTTCTCAAATACATCATTGATAAGAAAGAGCGTCGGGAGAGGATCGATTGTTATTATCTCAGTAAAAGAATAGATATTTTCATCCAGTTTTTAAAGTTTCTAGGTTACTGAAGGCTTACCAAGTTTATCACTAGTTTTGTTAAAAAATAATCAATTATTTCCAAAAATATCTATAACCCATGATCGGGTATTAAGTTTAAACTCCGGCTGATAAGATTTACAGTATAAGCTGCAACAGATGCCACTTCGTAAATTGTGATTTTACTCGAAGAGAACATTCAAACGATTAAGAATCATCGATTGATGTGTTTCAAAGGGACTTACCAATTGAAAAAAAAAAAAAAAAAAAGGAGACGGAGAAAAGTTTTAAGCTAATAAGCAATTACTGGACAAAGTTGACTATGATATCTTGAATTACTATTGATATTCGCATTTGATTTGAACATCATTAATATTTGTTGTTGAGAACATCAAATAGGTTTCTGTAGCCATACGACAATCTGTTCAACAAAAGATGAATGAAACCAACAAACAATGATGAGTACATTGATTCCAACTGATGCAAAAACACTTCGGTGATTAAGAACAAATTTTTTCAATGTGGTTTCGTCTATATGTATCTCTGCTCGCGTTCAGTTTTTCTATACATTTTCTTACCACACCTTTGTGGATAATTTGCAAATGCAAGCTTTATTTTTTTCATCACATAATTGGTAATAAATCCAACGCCTACCTTTACATTCTCGTCCATTTCCCGTGAATCCATGTTTGCACGTGCAATTGTAGGAACCTTTAGTATTGTTGCAAAACGCATCAGAGCTGCATGTGTGTAGCCCACGAACACATTCGTTGATGTCTGAACAAAAAAAAACAAACAAACAAATAAATAAAAATAAAATTATCGTACTAAAAAAAAAATAAAATAGAAGCACCAACAACTGTACAAGAATAATCAGGTAAGCCTCCTACACATATTGTTTTTAATATAGTAAACGTAGTTTTTGTTTTCTCGTGATCACTACACTTCATTTTACTTTGTTCAGAGTGAAAAAAATGTATTCAAAATGAGTCGACTAACAGCCACCTTATAAGTCACAAGCAGTGCTGATGAACTGCGAAACAGTCACATATTCCCTCTTTTTTAATCCCGAAAGTTCTACAGGAGGCTAATTGTCTTTTTACAAGTGGTTCATCTATTTTACTATTGTCTCTTTTCACTTTCAGTGCAGCTCAGGAGAAGATATGTCAAGACGATTAAGGAGATTTGAGATGACGAGAAGAAATGACAAAAAACGAAAACTTCGCTATCGAGTGGTGTTGGTGAGGTAACCGCAACAAAGGCCCTTTGTCCTAGTGACAAGTAAGAGCGGTTTGAGCTACATGAGGACAGAGAAAGCTATTTTATTATTTGAGACACAATTAATAAGCAGTGATAAAGTTTTTTCTTGTTGTTGTCAAGCTGAAAGTCTAAAGACATCATCATAAAAGTTGTGTTTACCTCTTTCGCAAATCGGACCCTCAAATCCAGTGATACACAGACACCGAAAACCTTTCTTAGTAAATCCGCTTTGACAAGTAGCATTGTTCTTACAAGGATTTTCAACACAATTGCTCTAACAGAAGAAACAAACAGTTGTCATTGTCATCGTTACTATCGACCTTAAAATTATTTTCAACATTTAATAGTCCGCACCGCTACCATCATCAACATCGCCATCATTATCCTTGTCATCATAGTTGTCCTTCTATTTCTATATTTCTCCAATAACTTTAAAATGCTTTGTCTTTGAGAAGATTTTGGTGAAGAGCTCAGACACAATATTATTGCTAGTGTCATGAAAGAGTTCGTAACTCAAGGTAAACGTGAGACTATTAATTTACAAAAGAAAAACAAAGTACACCAATCTGAATCTTAAATTGAAAGTAACATTTACCTCAGCTGCGTGATAAACATACATTTCTTGTTCTATCAACTTTCCTTCGTGTCCTTCATGAGTAGCATTGTTCAGTTCACATTTATAGTTTCCATTTCCATCTGCCCGTGTATAAAGATTAATGCTGACACAGTCGGGCTCCATATAACACAAGTTTTCACAGAAGTTGGAAACTGGAATTTCTACGGTGCGAATTGTGTGGTTTATGAGGCGTTTCCCGCCAAATGCTTTCTCAGGTCCGAACTCCAAATTACGACACTGGTCTGCGATGCAGACGTCTTTGACATGGAAATAATAAATATATGAAACGTAACATTATTGCTTATTATGACATGTTAAGAATTACGGAAAATGTGATAAGTGATATTCCATTACCTATTGTGTCAGACTTGAACTTTTTTTTATCTTCGTCTACTTTATTTCTATCTTGCAAAAAGTATTTACAAGAAAAGAGATATACAAACCCTCGACAGTGTCGCGGGTGTTAAGGAGACTCCACAGGGTTTTTTTATAGGGCAAGATCTGGGTCTGCGAACATAGCACGGCGGCTTGATCGCACGATTATTATCTGAAAAGGTGTGTTAAAAACAGTTTAACACGATACAATTTTATGTGATAGAATCAAGGGTTTCCAGCAACTTCACCTATAATATTCATAGGCCTTCTGCGCCTGAGAAAGAACTCAATGAAAAAGAAAACACCGTGGGAAAGGTTGCCAAAAGGCAACAGATGACGCGACAGATGGAAAATTTAAGCATACTTAGATACCGATGTTAGCGAAGTTCTATTGTTACCTGATGTTTTGCGACAAAGAAAATAAGGACGTTTCGAGTAAGTTTAGAGCGTTTTCTACAGTAGAATTTCTTAGGATTTGCTGGACCGTTAAACATATTTGTACCCTTCCTAGTCCCTGTTTCCTTGAGAACAAATTTGAGATAGAGGAAAGAAACACGAAATTGCAAATAGCGAGGATACTACCTTTGTAACCGCTATTTTTTTCGGCTTTTAAATGATCGGCAAGACAATTTTCAAAAATTGTGTAAATTTTGAGAGATTTCACCGAAGCAAATTGAATAAAGTCATAGACAAAGCCAAATTATCATTGGCGAGCGCGTCCATTGATAGAGCCTTAGCTTAATAACAGAAATCATTTTGATAATATTTACTACAGGAAACGATAATCCAAACCTTGCTCATTGCCTTTTGATGACTCATATTGACCTTGAAAAGCGGAAAAATAAAAAAACTTTCAGGAAAACATTACGCTGGCGCGTGCGCGCCATCATCGACCAAAAAACCAATGGAGCCTCTTTAAGATCAGAGTATGTAAACACGACAAAAATTATCTTTTGCTCGTGAATTTAAAATTATTTCATTTCTGTTTTGCTTTCACCTGACTTTCATCCTAAGTCTAAAAGTAACATCTCCACTGGGCCGATCGAAAGGACCTTAAATGTGTCTCCTTGACTGTTGGGCTTTCCTTTTTCCCATTATTAACACTGGGCACTTTCATTTCGTCCTCAATCTAAAAACTTTAAGTCCTTATTTTGAAGGCTAGTATCTTCGGAAAGACGAGGAGCAATTTCTGGACAGCTTGGGTCAATGGAAGAAGACGTCTAAGGGGGTTCAAGTTCCCCGGCAGAAGTTCTGACATCGATTTTGTAATCGTCTGTGCTTCGTTCTGTAAAATTCTAATTTAATGCACATACGCACACGAAAATGTCGTACTTCTTCAAAGTACTGGTTGTAGGTTGATAAATGAAAATTTTAAAATTTGTTCAGTAAATATATGTGGATAAAGTTAATTTTTTGACTCAATGACGAATTCTTATGATTGAATAAATCGTTTCCCAAAAAATAAAGATAACTCAAAACAAAGGTAAGATAAATTGAACATGAGTCATATTAAAACTAACCTTGTGATCTGACAGCCCGTTGTATCATAGAGCAGAGCTCCAATAAGAGAAGGGAGACAAAAACAGAATACATGATACAGAGCGCGATTAGAAAAGTTCTGACCCATTTAACATATGCTTAAGAAACAAATTCTTTTCTTAATAGTATTTATTTAAATAAGGCTGTCGCCGGTTAAACCAATGGCAGTCAAACTATTTCGTATGTCAGCTGTTTGTTCTGTCTTAGTTTATACAAGTACAAATGTTTGTTTAGAATGCTGCTCGGTTCAGAAACAATTTGCCTCTTAATTTCCATAAAAAAGTATTGTCACATCATTCTGTGGTCTGACATCATGAAAAATTAATAAAAAACAGTTGTAATTATGCAGGCGTGTTACACCTCGGCAAATTCACTTCCACGACGTATTTCATATCCGTATTGTCGTCCCTTTTTAGGAATGATAAATGAAATTTCCGAAATGATACGCACACTGATATTCAAATCGTTTCTGCTTAAGATAAATTGGACTTGAAAGAATTGCTTTAAACAAAGTGGTCTAAGAAAAAAAGGTATGTAGCTATAGGTCACGCAACTTTCCTACAGTTTTATATTCAATACAAAATCGAGCGTTAAAGAAATGAATAGATGTAAACCTAGCTTGTGAAAATGAAGAATTAATTTGATGGCTTCCTGATTTTCGCTTTTATACATGCACAACAGCTGGCATCATGAAACTTTGTTACATTACCCTACAGCCATTGTTTATTCTAAGAACTTCCCGTGTGTCATGATAATCGTGATGGATAATTTTTTATTACCATGCAGCCTTGTTATAGGCTAAATGCAGCCTTGTTAGAAAGTGGCATAATGATGTTTTCTGAAATTACCACAACGATGTTTATTTTTGTTCGTTGGTAAGAACTTCCTGAATTGTGTTCCTTCTCCATGATTTAGTGCTTCCGTCTGGGAATAACGGCTTCGTATTGGAGGCAATGAATCAGTAGAAATTAATTATCACAATTTTAAATTAGCTTTAAAATCTACACAAACTGATACACAGTACAAGGGGGGTAAGTTTCTGAAGAATCTGTGGCGCTGCGTCGGTGGGTTTCAATTATCATAGTATCATAGAAAATCTAAATGTATTATCGTTTATGGAAATTTAATTCAGCATCATGGTGGCGCAAAAGTTAAAAAAATGACCGTAAAAAAAGTATTAAAGGAATATTTCTGTGCAAATGAAATCTTTGAGGAGGATTAGTTTATTTTTTTGTTTAAGTGAAAGTCTATCAGCATACCTTAAATTGATTTACATTACTTCGTGTATTCCATCGAAAATGTTGTCAAAACAATGTAGGTGCTCATGTTTCTCAATTTGTTTTGATCATTTTTTATAATTAAAGAGGTTACCTATATTACTTTCGAGTTAAAGGCAGATAGAGCAAGAAAATGTTTCTTTGTAGCTGCATTGTTGCTATGTAAGCTTTATAATTTATTTGGCATTTTTGAACATCGACAGTAACAGTTTGATTTTTCCTCTTAGTCGATCCAACTCATCTTCATTGTGAATTTAACTCAAAAAAACTTTCTTTCTCATCTTTCTTGCAGCTGGCAATTCAATCAGCTGAATTAATACTACACTATACCATTCAAAATTGTTTCTAACATAATACTCTACCTATGGAAAAAAACACCGCTTAAACATATTAAGGGTTAAATCAAAGACTTTATCGTTCCATTCTCAAACGTGCAGAGTATTATATGCACTTTTTTACCAGAGTTAACAACCAACGCGGTTAAAATTTGAATATTTTTTTTAGTAAAACGCACCTACATTTAACTTTCCGTTGAATTATACAAAACGTTGCTCTTTTGAAGCAACGCATTTTCTTAATCCGTGAAAACTGAGGCATTTTACTTTTATTACAAAAGGGAAATTTCCGCATTTTTTGCCTAAATAGTGATGCTTTAAAGCCAACATTACACCGTCTCTGGGAAAAAGCACGATGTTTTGCGGAATCTATATGAAAAATATGCCTAAAAGGTCCGTTTTTCACAGAAAACGCTATTTTGGCAAACACAAAATAGTTTGGAAAGCGTTTAAGAGAGTGTCTCTGTAAGAGTGGTCCGGTCGATTTTGCTTGAGACACGGATTTTGCTCGTTTCTTGAGTGTTGTAAGACATTCATGTACCTATACTAAAACAAACAATCAGTTTGATCGGATCTCTTTACTTTACGGAGTTTTACGGAAATTAAATTTCACTAGAGCGAAGGCTTGTCGTGACACTTCTGAAGACTTTAATTTCATACAACTTTGGAGGACAACTTACAAAACTACGAAACTCAGCAAAAAACAAATACCATAGCCATGTATGTTGACTTTATCTTATCTATCGAGGCGACTTTCGTAAACATCACGTTTCAATTAAGGAAACAGGAAGACTTGAATGACACTTATCGGTTCGCCTAAATCACAGACGCCAAAACCGATCAAATTCAAGGTAAATTTTGGAAAAAGTGAGGCGTTCTTAACTAATCCAACTTACATAGCTAGGAAGTAGGTGCCATAGAAAAAGTAACTACAGGAAAAAAAAACTTTGCGGCCCGACCTTTACGAGAACTTTATAACTCCGTGAACTTACCTAATTTTTGGCAATCTACAAGTTTGGCCGCCATTTTGAGGGACTTGTCAACATGAAGCGTAATAAATCAAGCAGGTAGATCTAAAACCGTCAGAAATACATACGAAAGCAATTCAAATGAACTTTACTTTCAATTCAAGCTGCAAAATTTGAAATTGTTCGCTAAACTTACCATCGCGACCATTTCTTCAAACTCTACTACTAGTGTTCGAATTCCCCTCGTCGATTCCACCGTAAGAAACAACCTGTGCCACCCAAGCTTCGACTCAAATGTGAAGTACAAATCAAATTACATAACTGCTTCATCTTCGCGGCAATATCACGCTGGTATTTTGACATTCGGATCGACAAGAACGGTGATCAGGTAGCGATCGCCATGTTTACTTCATAAACGTGATCGCTGACCAGCCGCTGAGTAAAAACAGTACGGTTCAGTGGTGAGGGCGGGGTGAGGGGTGGGTGCGGGCAGATTATCAGAAGATTTTTGGGAACATTCGAACATATGCATTAATGTATCATGATAAACATTAGGACTGTCAGTCTTGATGTGAAGGCATGCTTCGTGTTGCAGGCAACTTTTGTTTTACATAGTGTTCTTGTTTTCTTTCAAATACATTTCGTTCCAAAAAGGACTAGCATTAATTTATAGATTTACAAACAAATCTTTACCACGTAAATAAATATGTTTAGATAATCGAGATAACCATTGAACCTCTTGTATCGCACCAGAAATAACGTGTCTTGTCTTCGCCCAACTCTGAGAGCATGGAGCGGCAAAGACGCGAGACACGAGTCTCGCGTCTCGCGGCTTCTCCATGCTCACAGGATACGCGTGACCTCACTATCTTTAAGGAAAATAAGAGGCTGCTCGAAGTCTGTATTCTGTTCAACCATTTCATAAGAGTGACGCGAGTCTTTCAATTGAGTGAGAAAGTCACAAACCCATTCTTTACCTCACGAGCGTAACCACTGACCACAGTAGGCTTTTCCTTTGACGCGGAAATTGAAATCGTATCGAGTATATAAAGTTATAGTGAGTTCCTTTAGATCTCCCGAACTTGTATCGCGTTGGAAACAATTAAAAGTACAGGAAGAAGTCGTTCGTTAGCGAGACGTTCATTATGTCTCAGGACTGCTTTTTGAATAGCAAAGATGGAAAAAACTTTAGTTGGTCCCGTGGCTTAAGTGGTTTGGTACGACTGTCTGAATGCAATGATGAAGTAAAACATCCTTTGATAAGCTGCCACCTGTCTAAAGAGGTCTTAGGGGAAAATGAGCTAATCTTGGCAAGGATTGGCCTATTTCACCTCACTCAGGAAGATAAACAAAAAAAATGTGGATTTGCTATAGGTATCGCCACACTTTGGGGAAGTTTTGGAGAAGTGCAAAGGTAACATGTCAGTATCCTGATCATGATGGTGTCAGGAAGCGTATCCAAGGCAGAGATGTAATTACCTTGCATATGTCTCAGGACATTCAAAAGCTGTTTGGAGTTATTATTCCAGTTGAATCAGGTAGTCTTCAGTAACAGTTTTGTTATATATTTTTGTCACGTGACATATCTGCCCGAAAAGAGAAGAAATTCTTTATTAGATGAAGGGTACTTAAGTACACATCACTTTGAAAAAACATAGATCTACGTGTAAGTGCTTTTAATTGCATATGGAAATATGTACAATGTTGCTTGGTTGATAATCAATAATGTTTTTGTAGAAGGTTAAATCACCTGACAACGCATTACACTTATTCATGCGTACGGTTCACAATTATTTACGGTCAGTTTTCCTCAGTTTGTATGATTCTCATTAACCAGTATGATTAAATTTGCATAAAACACCCTAAGACTAAAACACCCCTTATTTGATTAAGAATAATAAAAGTAAATAGTGCATCACGGCTTTCAATTCCTGATGTATGCTAATGGGCTTTACTTTAACTGAGAAATTTGCAATCGCTTACCTCAGCTCTCTGTGTCCCATGCCGTGAGAGGCACAAGAAAAAAGTTGATGATAGTGAGTCTTGGCTGAGACAAGAAGAATCAGAGAAGAATCTACGGTCCCCAGAAACGCCACTTTTAAACACAAGACAACTAAGGTAAATTGAAATAAGGGGTATTTGTTTTACTGAAAACTATCGTTTAGGTTATAAGATACGCGAAGAACTCTCCCCACCGATTTTTTCTTACATTCTGTTAATCAAAAGTTTCAATAATTATAAAGGCTTTCTTGTTGATCGTCTTAATAGTAACAGTTTCCAGGAACCAAGGGGAGCAAAAGAGAGAACAATTTTCTGTGTAGTTAGGTGAGGCGACATGCCGGCTTTATACTTCTTCCGGCGTGATAACGATAATGATGACAACAATGGGTAAAAAGCACCGTCCGCTATTGATGACGATTATCGTAGTTATAAACAAATCTCAGTTATAGTCTTGAAAAAAATCTCAGGGGGTC